CGGGACCTCGGAGGCCGTGTCGGCGGACAGCAGCGACGCCGCCTCGGCCCCCGGCTCCCTCTCCCGAGCAGATGACTCCGGCGTGGGCCAGAGCTCCGACAGCAGCGGCGTCTCCTTGGTAGGAGCTAACGGGGAAGATGGGGCAGCAGTCAGCTTGGGGAAGGCAATTATGGTTCTGGTTCCTGAGAATTTCTCTAGACGTTTCTGGCAAATGGAGCTTCAGGAGCCAGCTCTGTAGCTCAGCAGCCTCGGCAGGGGCTGTTATGCTACTGATCGGGTGTCTGCTTGCCGTTTTGAGGAGGACAACTCTCCTTGGTAGCAGGAGCAGCTCTGGAGATCCAGGGTCCTTGGCAATACCAGAGAAATTGCTCTGCTGCCTTTCCTGGCAGTTCTGCAGTGATACACTGGTGTCGTTTGCATATGCAGGCTTCCCCAAGGGCCTGGCCTGGCAAAAGTCTCTCAGCTGAGCTCTTCTGGCCTCTTTTTTTTCCACCAGGAAGAGGTGTCAGAGAGCAGCTCGAGCACGGATGCCATTCCCCGGATTTACCTGCCAGATTCATCTTCCATCGCCCAGTCCACCTTGGTCTCCAGTGTCTCCACCGTGAGCCAGTCAGTCATGGTGTCAGAGTCCCCACAAGTCCTGGTCCACTCCAGCGTCATCACTGATGGAGCCACGATCGTGTCAGACTCCACCGCGTCCACTTCCTCGGACCTAGGTTCTGCCATTGACAAAATCATCGAGTCCACGATTGGGCCTGACATCATCCAGAGTGAGTGCGTGGTCCCGGCTGCTCGCGCGCGCAGCAGACCTGCCCACTCTCCCTCTGGAGAGCCCCGCATGCAAACGGCTCGGGGGTCTGTGTCTGGGTAAGGGAGCTGCTGCTGTGCCAGACCTTGGGAGGTGAGGGAGAGATATGTATATGCATACATATGTACCTTGATCAGCGGGGGCTTCTCTTCTTGTCTTGCTGCAGTAGCTGGAGGGTCTGATGAGGAGCTAGTGGCTGCTTTGGCTGCCAGACAGCCCTCCCTCTGTGCGGCTGCTCCTTCAGCCGTGGTGCCAGCAGCCCAGGGCAGGCTCTGTCCCTGGAGCCAGACCTTCCTCACCCCTTCCTGCTTGTGTCTGAACCTGGAAGAGCCCTAGTGATTCTACAGCCCCTGCGTCTGGCAGTTACCACTCAGCTCTCCTCTTCCTCCTAGGCTGCATCGCCGTGACCAGTGCGGAGGATGGCGGGGCAGAGACTACACAGTACCTCATTCTGCAGGGCCCCGATGATGGTAAGGGTGCGCCCTGGGGTGTCCGGTGGTGGCTGTCTCTGCCTCTTAGCCTGTTCCGCAAGAGTGGGGCCTGGAGCGGGTGTCGCAGCTACATTGGCCACAGTGTCTGTACCAGAGTCCCCATGGATGTGCTGACTGTTGGGAGCTTGTTACTGAGCTCGTGTTCAGCCCTGTGCCCCAGGTGTGGGTACATCCTGGATGCAGGTGAGGGTCTGCTCCTTGGCTGAGCTGGTTTTGGTGTTTCAGGTGCCCCCATGGTGTCCCGGATGGCCACTTCTGCTCTGGCCAATAGCTTGGCAATAGAAGCTGTTGCTGATGGACCTACCTCCACATGCCTTGACCAGCCCGGCACTTCAGACCCTTCCGAGCAGCTGGAAGTGCTGGAGCTGCCTGCACAGCCAGATCAGGCCCGAGAGGTGGATGGTGGGGAGGAGCTGGACCAGCCAGACATGGAGACCCTGGAAGAGATGATGGAGGTGGTGGTGGTGCAGCAGTTCAAGTGCAAGATGTGTCAGTACAAGAGTGTCTCCAAGAAAACGCTAATTAACCACATGAAAGAGCGGCACTTCCAGCCAGGTGTGTGCTAAGGGCTGAGAAAAATTTATCTTACTGCAGACAGGCTCTGCTCTCTCCAGGGAAGAAACAAGGGGAGGAGTATGAGTGTAAGGACCTGTTCCACCATACAGTCTGGTAAAGAGTTTTCATTCTGTTCTCTGTGGCAGTGGGTTCAGCTCTGGCTTTGAAGAAAGGACGTCCACGAAAGGGGGGATCTGCTCCAAAGAGTGCGGAGGAGGAGGTCCCAGAAGAAGAAGAAGATGATGACATCATGGATGCTGGTGCTATTGATGACCCTGAAGGTAGGACTCGTCCTCCCCACATCTTACATAGCTTAGTCTTTTCCCAGTCTCTGTCTGACGTTTTGGGCTACTTATCCCCAGAGGACAGTGACTATAACCCAGCTGAGGATGAGCCCCGAGGGCGACAGCCCAAGTACAGCCGCACTGTCCCCACATCCAGCGAGGAGAGGCCGCGTCGACGCCCAGGGAGACCCCGCAAGTTTCCTCGTCTGGAGGACATGTCCCAGGACGTGCCTGAAGGTGAGGGAAGCAGGAGGCAGCAGCCCTGTGACGGGCTGGAGCAGGGAGCAGTATGCGAGCTCCCGGGAACCCACGGGGAGGGTGTGTGACAGAGCTGTGCTGTGTCCTGCTGAGCAGGAGGGGAGGTGGAGCCCTTGGTGACGTCCCAAAGCACACCGAGCCATGAGCTGCAGAACTCGGAAGCAGCCAGTTCATCTGGCCTGGAGAACGGGACCCGCGAGAGCCTGGTGGAGCCCAGTGTCAGCCAGTCTGACTCCGAGAACAAGGACCCTTCCTCCAACACCGGCCCCGAGGAGGCAGACGTCATCCCCAGGAGGCGAGGGCGGCCCTCCCGCCGCTTCCTGGGCAAGAAATACCGCAAGTACATGGGGCGCAGGTGAGGGGTGTGTGCCGAGCTGGCGCTGGGCCCTCTGGCCTGTGCCCAGGGCCGGTCCAGCCCCTGTTTGCCACCACAGCTCTGAGCCCCAGTCCTGTTTCCGCAGGTACTACTACAAGTCACCCAAGCCCCTGATGAGGCCTTACCTGTGTCGAATCTGCGGCTCACGTTTCCTCACGCACGATGATCTGCGTTTCCACGTCAACTCGCACGAGGCCAATGACCCGCAGCTCTTCAAGTGTCTTCAGTGCAGCGCGGCTCCCCCTTAAAGGTGGGCCCTGCCTGCCCCCCTGCCGTACCCATGAGAGTGGCTGGTAGCCCCAGGTCTCACAGCCCCCACTCTGCTTCTTGCAGGAACACATGTTCAACCACGTGGGCAGCAAGCCCTACAAGTGCGAGGAGTGCAGTTACACCAGCGTTTACAAGAAGGA